GATGAGAGACAGAGAAATCTCACCATCCCTGTGAACAAAGATGGAAAGTATGAGAGCTGTGCAATGTTCACACCTGTGGATTGGGATTTGGAAAAGATTGAAGCATTCGGGCTCAACACAACAACAGGATGCATGAATGGATCCGATTATGAGGCACCCAAAGGTGCCTCCAGCATCGTGACAGATGTAAGAGGAACTTGTTTAAATATATGTTTCTTGTACTAATTCATTTATAATCAGATCATGTGTAAAGTAATGCTAATGTGCAAGATAGGCAGACACAATTATAATTATAGCATAATGTAAAAATAATAAACTGAATTATACCGATGCCATATTAGGACAAACTGGTAGCATGCCCAGCTCTGTAGCTGACAAGATTTAAAAACCTGACAATCTCTGTATCTTGAGAAAGTAGATGATGGAGTCACCACCGATGCAAAGGTCCAGGTCTCCATCTCAACTTTTTTCTGTTTTCAGTTTGATCTGGTGTGTGACAGGAGCAGTCTCATTGAGGTATCACAGTCCATATATATGGCCGGTCTTCTGGTTGGAGCGTTGGTGTTTGGGCTGATGGCTGACAGGTACCATTCAAAATTGGGAATTACCTGCAATTGAAACCTGACTTAGACTCAAACTGTGTCATTGCTATCTTTGGAAACCTTGTAAATGAGATATAATTCTGCAATGTATTTATTCTACACTGTAAATCTGCACTAAATCCCCTTGCTTATCCAAACATTATTAAATTAGGTAATATGACAAAAAATATTGAAAATGTAGTTCATGATCCTCACACCCTGTGGTATGAAGCCGTTCAGAAGTCTGGCAGTCCTGATACAGTTTGTTTCTGAATCTCCTTCCGGATGGTAGCAGGGACATCGGGCTGTGGGAGGGGTCCATGGTGATGGTGGAGGCTCTGGGGTTGCAGCGCTGCTTTAAGATTTCCAGCAGGGATGGGAGAGTTCATGTTTGAATTTTTTTTTATAACAGCTTTATTATTTATTTATTTGTATGTAGGTTTGGTCGACGCTTCGTGGTCCTCCTCTCACTCCTTCAGCTACTGCTGTGTGGTGTCGCTGCTGCTTTCTCACCCAACATCTATATCTACATCGTTCTCAAATTCTTAGGTGGCATCTCAATTTCTGGCATCGTTACTAATGCATTTGTCATAGGTGGGTACATTGTTAAAAACAGAAACGGAATGTCTTCATACTTCATTGGAGTCACTGACACTGTTTTACTGTTGTACACTAAAATCATGTACAATACATGACTGGTCAAATATTTTTAAAACTCAGCACAGTTTGACTTCATAGATCTGATGAACACCACAACAAAAATTTGAAAAATCAATGTAGGTAGACTGCATGAGTGCTGGTGAGCAAATAGCAGAAATTACTGTGGCGACTGTCTTGATGCACGGAACACATGATGATGTCATATGTATAGAATTGTTTTAATCTATGTAAATTGCAAATTGCAGTACAATGAGAATAAGCCTCTGTGACTGTTGTTTATCTATTCACCTGATCACATTTTACTGAAAGTATGAGCAGTGTTTGAAGTTATATTGCAAAAAATTATTTGTTAAGTAAATGATAACTTGCACACACACACACACACACTTGCAAAACAAGTATAAAATAGGGGATCATGAATAATAGCTTTTCTATCTTATCTGTCCTTCTACTCTGAAGGTGGAGAATGGAGTGATTCTTCCAAGTTTGCTCTCTGTACCATCATCTGCCACTCTACATTTCCTCTTGGACTGATGATGATGTCTGGCATTGCCTATTTGATCCGAAACTGGAGGATCCTGCAGCTGGTGCTCTTCTGTCCTCTTGTCCTTGTTCTGGGAATGTTTTACTGGTCAGCAGCCTCACGTGCCACATTCAATATTTTAGTTCATATTTTAGTTTGTGATCATGGATCTATATGTCAACTAGGATTCTTCCAGAGTCAGCTCGCTGGCTCCTCACCCAGGGCAAGAAGAAAGAGGCCATAAAGGAAATCTGCAGGGCAGCTACGGTGAATGGGAGGAAGGTCCCAGAAGACCTAATAAAGAGGGTGAGCAACCTCAAGTACAATTAACCAATGAACTGAAGTGAATGGAGACTAACTAAAATATTTACCTTGATTCTTCAGCTGGAGGCTGCAGGAACATCCAAAAGAGGAAACATGTTGGACATCTTCAAGATGTCGTATCTGAGAAAACGTGCTCTTGTGATGAGCTTCCTCTGGTGAGAATTTATTTCAACCACAACCTGCTCATTGGCCTAGTTTGAACTTTAAGGCTTCACTTTAAGACATTTCTGACAACAAGCATGTCAACTGTGAGAGAGGTTGTGCTAATGGAAGACGTGCACAAATATGGACAATATTAAAGCGGAGTAGGGAACAACGACTGTTTCTACATAAATATCTTATGTTGAGCACAAATTAGCCTTGAGGGAAGCAGTGGCTGTCACAATACAGGGGCTCGATTTACAGTATTTTAAATAAATTGAAGACCATGGAACCTTGTCATAATGCTTCTTGGGCACCTTCTGTCTGAGGTCTAATGGAAATGCCCAAATGGGAGAAGACCCTGGGGTAGACCCAGAACTTGCTGGAGGGATTACATATTTCACCTAGTCTGGGAATGCCTCAGAATCCTCTGGAATAACTGGAATGTGTGTCACCACATGCATTTTATGCTATGGACATTAGGGCCCCCCCCACTGAAGACATGTCTCTCCATTGGCAGGTTTGCAACAAGTCTGATGTACTACGGACTGAGCCTGAATGTCGGCAACTTCGGTCTGGATATCTACCTCACTCAGTTAATCTTTGGTGTAGTAGAAATTCCTGCACGTCTGGGCTCTTTACCACTCATCCAGCATTTTGGGAGGAGGATATGTCAAGCTGGGGTGCTGATCTTTGGAGGTTCTGCTTGTCTTGGGATACTTGTGATTCCAAAAGGTAATGTGTTGCATATAACAGTCTGGAACATATATTGATGAGATTTTTTGAAACTAAAACATGTTTTATGTGTAATTTATGTGTGTGAAATGTGTTTCTCCTTTAGATCTTCCTCAAGTCGTAACAGCCGTAGCTGTTCTTGGAAAATTTGCAGCAACTGCCTCTTTCTCCATAGTCTATGTTTACACAGCAGAACTATACCCTACTGTTGTGAGGTATTGTCACAAATGATCAATTTAAAATTTGTTATGAAGTCATATTGGCAAACAATCCCTCTTTTTCTTATATTACTTGAGATAACCGATGAGCTCATTATCTTTACTGGTAGGCAGAACGGTGTAGGTCTAAACGCCATGTGTGCTCGTGTGGCGGGCATCCTCGCTCCACTGGTCAGACTCTTGGATGTCTACCATTACACCATCCCCATGCTACTATACGGCACCATCCCCATTGCTGCTGGAGGTTTGTGTTTCCTACTGCCTGAAACGTGCAATGTTGAACTGCAGGACCACACTGAACAAAGGTGAGTTGATGAACCCTTTATCAACAGATTCTGTAAAGAAGACTAAAGTAATTGTGTGTAACAATGCTCTTGTTCACAGGGAACCTGAAAATGGAACTGCTGTGATTTTATCCAATTTAGGAAAGAGCACAAAAATGTAATTCACATGAGCAAACCGTTTTCACAGTCTATGATATCAGGAGGTATCGTGTTCCACTTAACTTATATTGTGGTAACATACAGTTGAATAAAATACATAACTTCAAAACCTTGACTGAATCATGTTCAATTGTTATAATGTTTTATGTTTAACTTCCAAATTGTATTTTTTGTATTTATAATCTCTCTTCAAATTCAGTTTTCCTTTTTTCCTTTTGTGACACTGTTCATTCAGACTCATGTGCAGAGAACACACAGGAGACCATTGGCCATTTTCGCTGAGCACAAAGACAATGTTAATAACGGTATAAAAGTGAAAATCTGTGTGTTGTAATGGAAATTTTACATTTGTGAATGTGTAATTGCATGAGCAGACATGTATGTGGATGACTGACCAAATGGTTCACCAAATTGTTTATCTGAAAGGGCAACCTTAAGGTTTACGATGGTGGCTTAAGAGACTTGAGTTGTATGGCCTCGAGAAACCAAAACTTTATGGTGTCTCATGGTATCTCTGATTGGGATCTCACACCWGGGGTCTCACAGGGGGGTCATCCACWGAACATGTAAACAAATGGACAGGAYGTCTCCTCCACTGAGTGAAACTACAGGAGGGTAATAAATACCTTTGAATGCTTAGTGGGAGGGGGCWGAGAGTTATAAGAACACAGATTCTCCTGTGTTCTTTGCTCATTTGTGCATGTCATTCAGGTGAYGTGTACTGATGAGTCCATCTGCAGATGCTGAATTAAACTTTCAGAAAGAAGTGTTTGACTTTGTGCTTGTTTCACAGAAGTTGCCACCACAGTGTGAACACTGTGCCAATTTACCAGAACAGTTGGACTTCAGCCTGAAATATCCTAACCTGTGAATTATGAGTTGGCAGCCTTGGCACCTGATGATAAAACACTATGATTATTAAACATTAACTTGCGGTATGAGACTGGAATTGACTGTTGGAAGTACATTCGGTACTGGATATTTCTCTTTCTGACGCTGCACTCTGAGGACAGACAGACTCCAATATGAGTAACTTTGGGCAGATCCTGATGGAGATTGGAGAGTTTGGTTTATTTCAGAAGCGTTTAATTGCTGCATTATGTATCCCCAGCATTTTTGTTGCWTTTGATGTSATTRGTCAAGTGTTCACAGGCATGAACTTCCCTMATCACTGTRACACTGACTGGATCTTGGACCAAGGACCCAACCTGACTGATGAGAGACAGAGAAATCTCACCATCCCTGTGAACAAAGATGGAAAGTATGAGAGCTGTGCAATGTTCACACCTGTGGATTGGGATTTGGAAAAAATTGAAGCATTCAGGCTCAACACAACAACAGGATGCATGAATGGATCCGATTATGAGGCACCCAAAGGTGCCTCCAGCATCGTGACAGAGGTACGAGACACTTCCTCTCTACTGAGGACAAATATTTCATTTTATACCATGTAATTTAAAAAATAATTAGTGTTTGGAGGAATATCAATGTAGCAGATAATTCATTTTATTCATTAAATAAGCTAATGTATGTTATGTGGCGGCTGTTCTGTGTTATCTTTCAATTTTAGTCATTTCTGAGCCACTGCACTGTTTTAATAGCATAGAACAGTGCAGTGGAACAGTAGACCTTGTTGTACATGTTGCTGTTGAGCAATATGTTGGATGTCTGGCAAATCACACTCAGATTCTTTTTTTCAAATTTCTAAATAAGAGCTAAAACATGGAAAACTACGACAGTCATAGGGTAATGAATTGATAATGATTTATACCCACTCAATAGGTGCACAAGGAAAGGTCCAGGTCTCCACCTGGACTTTTCACAATTTAGTTTTTCTTTCCTGTTTTCAGTTTGACCTGGTGTGTGACAGGAGCAGTCACATTGAGGTGTCACAATCCATCTACATGGCCGGTCCTGCGGTTGGATCATTGGTGTTGGTGCCGATGGCTGACAGGTATGGACCACTGATCTAAAGATCTCTCAGCCCTGTCTTTGGAAACTTTCTTCTAGGATATTTTTTCTCTCTTGTCATTATCATTTATCTGCTCCTTTAATATAAGTCTTGTGATATGACACCAAGAATGAAATTTAAAGCTGCAAGCAGCATGGAAGTTTTATTGCATGAAAATAAGAGGAGCAATAGGGTCCTGCACCATTTTAAATACTTGCGCTGTAAAATTAGGTATCTTTTTAAAACAAGGCTGCAAAGAGATTTATTAAACTTTACATACAATAAAGTTAAGTTGGCAAATTAAACTATAAAATCATTCAGACATAAATTGTATAACAGTTCCTTTCTTGTTGTAGGTTTGGTCGACGCTTCATTTTCCTCATCTCGCTACTTCAGCTACTTTTGTGTGGCGTCGCTGTTGCTTTCTCACCCAACATCTATGTCTATAACGTTCTCAAATTCTTATGTGGCGTGTCAGATACTGGCATCATGTCTAATGGATTTGTTATAGGTGGGTACAATGTTAACAACTGCAACTACTACCACTATTATGCACTTAATGTATAGAATTGTTTCATCGTTTTCACAACATTGCAATATTTTGTACCACTGATAGATCTGATGAACACCAATTCAGATCTCAAAAAATCTGATCAATCAATCTTTTCTGTGGGATCTGTTTTGTTGCTCTGAAGGTGGAGAATGGAGTGATTCCTCCAAGTTTGCTCTCTGCACCTTTATTTGCCTCTCTGCTTTCCCTCTTGGACTGATGATGATATCTGGCATTGCCTATTTGATCCGTGATTGGAGGATCCTGCAGCTGGTGCTCTTCTGTCCCCTTGTCCTCGCTCTGGGAATCTTTTACTGGTCAGTAGACTCACGTGCCACATTCAATAAAACAATAAAAGTATATATTTTAGTATAGTATGGATCTATATGTCAACTAGGATTCTTCCAGAGTCAGCTCGCTGGCTCCTCACCCAGGGCAAGAAGAAAGAGGCCATAAAGGAAATCTGCAGGGCAGCTAAGGTGAATGGGAGGAAGGTCCCAGAAGACCTAATGGAGAAGGTGAGCAGCCTCAAGTACAATGAAGCACAATAAACTGAAGCCAATATACTTAAACGGAAAATATAACCAAATTATTTAGCTGGAGGCTGCAGAAACATCCAAAAGAGGAAACATGTTGGACATCTTCAGGATTTCGTATCTGAGAAAACGTGCTCTTGTAATGGGCGTCATCTGGTGAGATTACAATGTATGTATGATGTATGTGTGTAATTCTTCTAAACCAATACCTTTGTGGTGGCCCAAAAGACATGTCCCCCCACTTGATAGGTTTGGAACAAGTCTAATGTACTATGGACTGACCCTGAATGTGGGCAACTTTGGTCTGGATATCTACCTCACGCAGTTCATCTTTGGTGCGGTAGAAATTCCTGCATATCTGGTCAGTTTACCCATCATCCAGCACTTTGGGAGGAGGAAGAGTCTGGCTGCGTTTCTGTTCTTTGGGGGACTTTCTTGTCTTGGGATACTTGTGATTCCAAAAGGTAAGACACAAGATCCTGACCTGATTTTGTAACTCATACATGTTATGATTCAGACAACACAAACATTCGGTTTATATGCGTGTGAAACTTGTTTTTCATTTAGATCTCCCTGAAGTCGTAACGGTCATAGCTGTTCTAGGAAAATTTGCTGCAACTGCCTCTTTTTCTGTAGTCCATGTATATACAGCAGAACTATACCCCACTGTTGTGAGGTAGGTAATGTCCCAGACAAACAATGTAAAATGTGTCTTTTACATCATATTAGCAGACAATGCCTCTTTCGTTGCCTCAATTTCTTGAGATAGCTGATGAGCCCATTATCTTTACTTGTAGGCAGAATGGCTTTGGTCTGAACTCCATGTGTGCACGTGTGGGGGGCACCCTCGCTCCACTGGTCAGACTCCTGGACGTCTACCATTATACCCTCCCTATGCTAATATACGGTACCATCCCCATTGCTGCTGGAGGTTTCTGTTTACTACTGCCTGAAACCTGCAATGTTGAACTGCAGGACCAAATTCAACAAAGGTGAGTTGATGAAGAGTGATTTTTTTCTCCAAAGCAAACAAAGCAATTGTGTGTAATTATGTTCTCAATTTTAATTTCAGGGAACCTGAGGATGAAACTATTGAGATCTGATCCCATTGAGGAAAGAGTACAAAAATTTAATTTATGTGAGTCTTTCATATCAGGAGAAGTTGTGTACTTTGTACTGTTTTGCAGTTAAATAAAATACAAAACTGTAACTGAATCATGTTTAAATGTTATTGTATTTCATGTTTAACTTCATTTCTTAAAATTTTTAATCAGTTTTTCCATTTTAATTACTGCACTGTATATGTCAATTTTTCAATGCACAGTGTATTTGCTCTTAAATGGTTGAATAATGAAAAGTGTGTGCAGATTTTTTCATAGATTAGCACAGATTGTGTAAATTTGTCAGTATATATAATGCAGAAATATACCCTAAACATCTCAGCAGGACTTTACAGATTCACAGATTGCATCCTGTAAAATACAGCATATTTTATGTCCTTTCACAATAATTATTTAAGGAAAAGGAAAAACATTTATTATAAAATACAACATCCTACATATTGTTTCATAGTATTTGCTGTGGTGTAGACTGTACTTTGTAGTTGCACTGTAATAAGTCATTTGTTTGTTATGTCCCTGACTTTTCTTGCAAAAAAAGGGTGAGTATTTACACACACACTAGAATTTGTCAAATTATCACATTTACAATATCATCTTACACTGAGGTAAATTTTCTCTGATTCAGGATCTGCTCAATGTTTCTGTCAGACTGGAAGATCAGCAAATGAACAACCTCAACACAGTTAACAGTATAAAATCATTTTAGATTTAAAGCCTTCTTTGTTACAGATTATATAGAATGTTTTGCTGTATTTTGTTTTAATAATTGAAAAGCAATTCATTTAAAAACAGTGCAGGTGTCAGCATCTGTCTTACACTGCACAGTTTCTTACAATTATTAAAGCATTTTTTGTAAATGAATTGTAGGTTATGTGTCAACACACAGTTAATCATCACCATAACAGAGAGTATCACATGGTGCCTCAAACACATCCCCGATAAGATTTTTCATGTTGTCACAGTCACCGTATCATCAGCTGTGGAAAGACACAGAACAGAGTTTTAATGGAGAAAAGCAAATTATAATGATTGATCACGAATATGATGATATTGATGATAATAATGATAACAATAAATGTGTCTTGCTTTGTTGGGTGGTACTCACATTTACACTATATGTTTATGCTTTGGATTCATCATGCACCACATCAGCAGTATTCCTCAGAAGCCACTGGTTCTTGTGTTGAACATGTCCAAAGCCCTCGTCATAATTCCCTTTTCTTCTGAACAGTTGTTGGTAGTGAAATATGCAGTAGAAGTCCCCATGCAAAGGTGTGTAATTGTACATGCTACGAATGAAAACAATATGCAAGTCACAGTGCAAATGAATGACCTTGGTTGGAGGTACAAAGTACCACAGAGTATTATGGCTACTAAAACAGGAGACATATCTTAGAGAATGAAGTTGTAATATTATGACAATAAGGTCATAGTATTATATACAGTCTATGGGTGGAACAAAGCACAAGGTCTCTATGCTGCTAATCTTCATTTCTATTTCATTGTTGACTTCTTTTTTTTCCATAAAATTTAAACTTTATACATAACAACTTTATTCTCCAAATACCCCAAAATATTTTCTTCAATATAGCCTGAACACGTATTTGTACGATAGGGTATTGTCCTAGTATCTAGATCGCATCTTACTGATGTTTACAGTTTTGTAGATTGATAATGTAGATTTAGAGACAAATATTGAGAATCAATAATCAGGGGATCTTCCAGTATAAAATTGTAATGTCTCACCTTAACTTTTTCTTGCACTGTTTACAAACGAAGCAGGTTTTGTGAAAAATGCATTTGTCTGCATTTATTTTTTCCATCGGGTAAACCGGCTTCAGACAGGCAGAGCACATCTCTTGACAAGTTGGTTGAAACTGTGATTAAATAATAAATAATAATAACTGTAATTAATATCAACAAACCCAAAGACCTAAATTAAAACCCAAAATGTGTGTTTAATTTTAAATATGTCAAAATGAGTAATAAGAATAATAAAACAACATTTAATAAAAGCATGTGAACACAATGGCAACCTTATAAATATACAAACTATTAAATCATAACCAACAATTAATATCTTAGCTAATCAAATTATATACATGACAAGTTTGTCATAAAGAATCTGACCTGCATCCTGTCTCTAAATGATCTAAAGCTTGGGATTGATTGGCAGCCGAACTTCTGGATATGTTGTGACCTGACATGTCGTCGGACTGACCACTGCCGGACCTGTGAATGATGTCATAGTTTCTGGCTGCGTAGTGACCACAGTGGAAGTTTTGGATGAGTAAATCCGGTTTCCAAAGTTATCCGTCTGCTCGTAGTTCTCTGTGACAGTTTTGGTTCCTATAATACTTTTCCCCTCGTGGTCAGTCTGCACCTCAAGTACACTGAGCTCTCGTTTTGGGTTAAGTGGGCTGTGAGGTGGTGGTTTTTGACCTCCCTTCCTGGGGTCTCTCTTTCTGTTTTGAGCTGGACTGTTGCACGTCAGGGTCTTTGTTGTGCAGAACTTCTCTTCTGACTTTGGGCTCTGCTGACACGTTGGGCAGATTGTGGTCTCGGGTGGAACCACATCTGTTTTATTAGTTTTTCTAGTAGCTGACTGTATGGAGATGAAGGCAGGTGAAGATGGCGGACTTGCTCGTTGTTTTGCAGATACTACTGCACTGCTTGCACCTTGCCCAATTGTGCTTCCCTTTGTGGTAGCGCTTTCCTGTGCCGGCGGTAATTTTGTTCTGCTTGACCCGATGCTAATTTTGCTAATACTTCCAGTGGATGGGGATCCTGGCAATGTCCCCATGGATTCTTTGAACAGACATGATAAATCAGCAATATCTGAGTCTGATTTCAACGTAGAAACAGAATAAAGAACCTTCTTTATGGCTTCCTCTATGTCCAAAAGTCTGGCTAAGGTCTGCTCTTTTAGATTCATGATTTCCTCGCTGGCTTTCTCAAGATCTCCAAAAATATGAGCCATTGAGGGTTTGCTTTGAGGGTGGTCCTTCAATGGTGACTTCTCAGCTTTGTGTTCCACCTTGACCTTTTTGTGTTTCTTTTTGTCAGAACTGACAACCCAGTCTGGGACATCCTCAAACACTCCCCTCAGAGATCTCACATCAACTTCACTCGTGTCCTGTTCGATATCTTCCACTCGACTGAGAATGCTCCGCAGCTCCTCCTGCTTTCGTAAATTGTCAAAGATGTCCATGGCCGCTGCTATGTTCCCTCTCACGATCTCATCCATGTGAACCGACAACCGCTGTCGGCGCTCGTCTTCTGTCTCGGTTCGTCCTCTCTTATCCCTCATCTCAACTTTATTTTGTTGTTTCTTTTCTTTCCCGTGCTTTTCAGCAGTTTGTAAACTGGTGCTTGTGCCAGTGTCAGATGGATTGGTTATAGTTTGTTGTGGTTTTGGATCCAGATGCACAAGATCTGCAAGATTTGGATCGTTGTTGTCACTCTGGGCAATTTTTAGTCTTTTGGGCTTTACAGGGGCATTCCTCACTAAACCTGACTTTTTACCTCCAAATTTCTGGCATGCTTCATTAAAATTTACAGGACTTTGATCACTTTCATTCATATTCTCTTTAACAGGGTTTTGTTCCTGGAGGGGGTTTATTTCTAGTGTGGAATTCATCTCTTCTGGTTTGTCAGAAGTATTTTTATTGGTGCTCTCAAATGAGCCTTGGAACTGGCTCGTTTTCTGAGACATCTGAATAGTTTCACCTTTATAATTTCCTGAATATGACCCTGTGTCTGCACCACTATTCATTTTGGACTGGTGTTTCGTATGTCCATCGCGACATGAAGCTGATGTCTTCAGTGGTTGAACTACAGTTTCTTCTTTGGATTGCTCCTTTATTTCAGGTCTTGTAGCATTTGTTTTTGTTGCCTCCAGATTTTTAGGATTACTTGATCGATCATCTATTTGTTTAACTTTCAGATGCTCTGGTTTTGGTGGGATGGCTGGTTTCCCACCAACAAGTCTTTTGCTCTTCTCTGAGACAGCAGTTGTTGTTGGTCTATTTTGTTTTTGCAGCTTTGCGTTCACCACAGTCACCTGTTCCTCGGAGTCCTCTTGTCTCAAGTGAACATAAATTGAGGTGGATTCAGTCAAAGGGCAAGGGTCCTCAGTGATGGGCTTCTGAACAGATGCCTTGTCTATATTTTGGGATTTGGCTTTGTGAGGTCTAGAGGAGTCTTGATATATCATAGCTGCTTTGAAATCTCCTCTTGTGACATTAATGTTGGATCTCTCCAAGGAAGCCAAAGCTTGTTGAAGTTTTCCATGAAAAACGACTTCATCTTCCTCCTGTTGTTCATGTTGTGTGTCTGAACAATCAGCAATGGTTTCAAAGTGTTTCTGGACCACATTGGTGCACTTTTGACCCTGTTTGCTGCAGGTTTCAGTCGTTTGCACTTCTTCAGCATTGGTGCCTTTATTGCACGTCTCTGTATTTTTGTCTGAAGTGAAGTTGGAGGCTGATGTAACTTCTTCCAACCTTGGTTCTGAGTCCACTTTTTGGTCCTTATTTTCTTGACATAATTCTTTGACGTCACCTGCCATAACTGAGATGATAGGTTGCCCGGACGACTCTTGAACAACACATTTCCGTTTGTTTTGTGATGAGTGATACAAACATTTGGCTTCAATCGTGGCCTGCTGAAGGCTATGGATTGCAGTTTGCAGGTTCGAGATTTCGTCACTTTCGTCTACCACCTTCACTATCTGAGCTTGGTGGACCCTGTCATCATCCTGTGTCACAAGATGTTGATAAGTCCCCTGAGGTGCAGTTGGGAATTTACAAACTTCTTCTTGTGCTTGGCCACCAGAGTCCAGAACATTATCTTCTCTGTGCATAACGGGCATAAGTACCCCAATGTTGGATTCTTTACAGGATTGGCTCTTCCCAAGTGGCACATTTTGACCTGTAAATGTATGAGAAATGGTGGTGGATGGAGCAAGATTTTCATAGATATTTTGCTTTGCTTGGCTTTGCCGATCTCCTGAGAACATGCTTTTCAGTCTCTTCACATCCACTGGGACCCAATCTAAAGAACTCTCTTCTGGATGATCACCTCCCTGTTCATAATGAAGCTGTGCATTTTGTTCTGCCGCAGTCTGGTTCGGATCGATTTCTTGTTCCTGCTCTATTGGCTCAACCTGAAGAGTTTTCAAATACTCCAGATCTCCCTTTTCAATGCAACTCTTGAACAGTTTCACGTTCCCTTTTACCGTGACCTCAGGCCTGATTGATCCGGTGCAGGTTTGGTCTTGAGAAGTTTCTAAAAGTGAGCTTATAGTCGATTCAATGATGCCTTTTCTTAGTCCTTGATTTTCTGTTTTACTAATGTAAATCTCCTTGGTTTCGGGTTCATCAAACTCTGCAGCACGTCTTGGTGGAGTTCTGTAACTTTTCACATCTTCCTCATCAACATAATGGTAGAGGGAATAAACAAGGATGTCAGCACATTTATTGGCATCCTCCTGCATGATCACTCCTTTCCTCAGAGAGTTGTCCTGATTGAGAATATCCTCAATGAGCTGAACTACATTGGCGGTTTTAAACTCTGTGTCTTGGCTGGTAGTGAACTGATGCTGGTGCACAGGTACATTCACCACTGTGGCCTCCATCCCTCCTTTTCTATCCTCCTTTAGGTAAGTGATGTGAGGCTTTAGGTTTGCTCGTGGTAGCAGCTGGACAATGAAGTTTTGTGCACCACCTTCAGCCAATTCATTATATTTTATCTCAGGCCCACTCTCTGATAGTATGAATTTAGCCTTTTTTGCTATCATTGTCTCATTCACCTCAATGATTGATCCATCTGAATGTAGGGCATTAACGCAATAAAGGGAATTTAGAGTTTCCTTGATGTTCTCCACCATCGTCTCAATTTCGTCCTTGTTCTGATGCCTAATTTTGTCAAATGGCATTGATTCAAACAGATGGGCTCTGTTCTTGACATTAGTTATGAGGGGGTTCCCAGATGCTTCACTGGGACTTGCTGGGATTTGGGATTTTGATGAATGCGCACAAGAATTTTCTCTTTCTATGTTTGTGGAGATAAATGGGTTGTTTTTGAAAAGAGCTGCACCCGTTTTGATAATTTCTTCAAATTCCCCTTGAACTGTAGGACTCGTAGGGTCATTGTCAAAGGCTGCTTCATCAGTATAAACTTCTTTACCACCAGAAAACCTAAGGCCAGTGCTTTGAACACATGGCCCTTGTGTATGTGGCTGATCCATCAAATCAAGGCTTTTGTTTTCACTGTGTACATTCTCTTTGCAAGTCATTTCAAACTTGTGTTTTTGGACTGGCCCTCTCTCTTCCCCAAAAATAGAGGTTTTTCCTCGGAACCTATTATCTGGATTTGGCCAAGATGTTTTCACAGACTGACTCTCAAATAACCTCCTGGAAGCCTGCACATCTATTCTTATCATCTCCTCCTCACACTCTCTGTCAGGATCTGGACTAGAACCCAATGTTTTGTAATCCTGCACAATCCCTTTAACACTTTCATGACATGGCCTCTCTTCATGCTCCTCAAACACAGCTGATGTTTTGCCGACAAAACCGTCACCCACTTTTCCGTCTGCCATGTGCGTCGGGGAGGTGTGAGGAGATACTTTGTTACTCAAGGCACAGTTCTCAAATATCAAGCATCTTGAGAAGACCTCTCCTTCATATCCAGTTTCACCAGCTGCCACCCCAGACTCTGAGGTCAAAACCTCAGCAAGCTCATCATCTACAGCTTCATCCAGCATCTTTAGCTCTGGGTGGGTGTGCTTCAGGAGTCTTTTCAGCTCACTTTTCTGCCGCTGCTGGTGTAACTTTTCTTTGGAAATTTGAACTGGCATTGCTTTTTGGGAGCTTTCATCAGAAATGTCTGCTGGTCCCGACTGATGTCTGGGTAGAGGAAGTGGAGGAGGTTCATCTTTTCTCTGTTTGGGGTCTTCGGCCATCTTAGAAGAACAAAGTAACAGTCTCGTCATGGGGTCATTTTTAATGTAAATGATCTATCCAATGAAAACCATGCCCGAGTGTGCACACATGCAACAAGAGCCATATGTTACCTTCCAAACCATGCCAGTTCATTTGCTGTCCAAAATCCAGGTGTTAGTGGGTTAGCTGAACTCCAAAGCAACAAATGCAACCACATGGATGAATTAAAATAAAAAACACATGGAATAAATGGCATCCATTTTCTGTTTCTTTCCCTCGCTCAAGAACAGCAATAACAGCAACAGGTTTATGTTAAATGCAAATCCAAAGCACACCACCATGCATGTCTGGTGAAATCCTTACCTTGGCTATCTTCCCTCTTTTCCCAGATTCAGGTGACTGATCTTGTGCCTGAATGGAGACAATAATTATTCCAGGTCAAGTTAACCTTAAATGATCAACATTGAAGTTTCCTTCTTCTGTCATGTGTTATATATCACTTAGCTTCTTTATCTTATATTAAAGCATAATTACTCTGAATTAATTTCGAGCAAATCTGATATATGAACCATAGATTGTGTAAAAAGATCTTCCTAAAACTGAAGCCAGTGCGCCTGTTTGAAAGAAAAGACACAAGCACATACTGAGCAGACAGGTGTTTACCAGTTTTGGCTCCTGTGGTGCCACCTTTGACAGATAGAGGGCAGACAACACTTTGACTGACAGTTTCTCCTTGGATTGGAAGAAGGAGCTGTCTCTGAAGTCTGCAACCGACCTCCTCTTTTCATCTGCATCAGCAATAACACAGAAAGAAAACTGCAAGTAGCATCACCACAGGCCAAGAAAACATCCCATCCAAAACAAACGGCTTAAAAACGGGCACTGCACTTCTGGGATTTACAGAGAAGAATAGTTTTCACTTTGTTTACTGGTGAACATAAGTCATGTAAAATACAGCTGCTGTCTGACAAAATAAAGATTATTTTGGTCTCAACATCCCGTGACTGAGAGAATATAAAAATGTGAATGTGACTAATTGTAAAAGCACACAGCTTTCTACGCTCACGTCCATATTGCCAGAGTATGTGTTGATAGTTATCACTAGGAGTCACTCTCTCTTAGCTGATATTTAACAGCTGCCATGTGGTCCAGTTACAAATGTAGCACTTAGAGACAGTTACCTGACTCCACCGAGAGTTAAAGGACACAGGAGTCACAGCCACAGTTGACAAAAGGCGTAGAAAAGCAAAAGTAAATGTCTTAACTTTGTTTATACAGTCGCACAGAGTTTGTAAAGATACAGAAGCCCACCACCAGCACAACAGAAAACCATGTGTGAACAACACGACCTGTTTCTAATCAGTTGAAACATTAAACATGTAAATTCTTCTCTACTCACAGACTCCACTTCCTCGTGTTCTGCCCTTCTTCTTATCTCCTTTCTTTGTTTTGTTCTTACTGATGTTGCTGCCGTTGGTTCGTCCGGTAACACAGCCTCTGCCGCTCTCTCTCTCTCTCTCTCTCTCTCTCTCTCTCACTCATTCTCTCAGTCTCATTCCTGCCCCAGTGACAGCTGACCCCTTCACCCTCCTGCACTTATTCAGGACCTGTAGCACGCCGGTTATTTCCGTCCCGCTCTGCACTGACCTACTCTGGGCCCACACCAGGCCGAGTCAATCACGGCTTCTTGCAAAGTCACTGTGCTGATGAGATCCATCTCCATTTCCTCGCTTCTTTCATTCACACCGTCCACTCAGCTTTGAGCTGAGTCACAGGTTCTCAGACATGCACAGCTTTCCAGGGAAGGTTTACCAGGGAACTTAGCTGATTTTTATTTTCTTAATTTCTATTTGCTGTTGTGGTGGACCAAAAATCAAAAATATTTGATTAATATTTAATTTTATTGGTTATTTATTCCCTGGTCATTTTCTTGTATGTTCATAATTCCCCATGCAAACGAGGTTGTGTTCTTGTCTGCGGTTGTTTGTTAGCAGGATTACACAAAAACTACTGAATGTTTTAATGTTTGTTATCTATCTTTTAACAGTACTTCTGAAAAAAGATTTCTCCTCATCACGGCCCTGAGGTCACAATGGCAGTTTCAGTTCCCACACAAGCTTGATGTTTTTGATTGAGGAGAGATTACGGTTGAACTCACCAGCTTGAAAGGCTGCAATTTTTTCAAAATCAATCCCCCCGATTGTTTTTCTCCTCTCCGCCCGGCTCTCATTCACAACCTGGAGAAAGAAATATCTCATTGGTACTAAATAGATGATGGACAGATTCTAATCCTGGAAATAATGTGATAGAAGTGGAATGATGTACTGATAGTAAAGTCAATGGCTTCAAGTTAAAAATGCATTTTAATCCTCTACTTTTCTTCTTCTTACACTAGTTGAGAACAAAATAAATTTAAAATATACAGTGACTTGGTGATTTATATCATTGATATTCAGTGGGGGAAATGTCAATACTTTCTCCTCCAATCAAAGCGTAAAAAATACTTGTTTTCACTTGTCAAACTTGGCCTAAAATTGCACTTTCAGGCATTTTAATTACCTTTCGAGTCACATGATTCTCCTTTGCATCAGTGCCATTAACTGGTGGATTTCTTGTCTTCTGTTTCTCCGCAGACCTCTTCACCTCCTCAGTCTTTCCATTCATCAGCGGTGTGCTACCTGCTGCCTTGGAAGGTGACGTGAGCTCTGCAGCTCTGAACCTGCTCCTCACTCCGGTCTGTGTTGCAGCCTTTGACTCAAACCGAGCCTTCAGGGCCTCTATGGAGCCGGCTCCGTTCTGAAGGCTCCCCATCGACCTGCTGCGTGTCAGACCGGGTTTGGCTTGGGACTGTTCCCCCTCGTAGTTTCTCTTTGTCAGAGATGCCAGATGAATCTCTTTACTCTCCTCGAGAGATGGTGTTATCTGACAGTGATACACACACACACACACACACCGACACACACACACACACACACGCACACAATATGTTTGCATGCAGCACCACACATTGTTTTTTCCACACAGAATCTGCTTTTGTTTGTCAAAAATGAGTTTACCTCTTTTAACACTTGCTTCAGTTTAACTTCACTGTTATTCACTGGAGGAGCTTGAGTTGATGCACTGACTTCCTTTCTAGTTTGATACCTGGTATACAAATAAACACCAAGTTGAATAATCTGCTACGCCGCATGTGTAACTTTAAAGTACAGATAAAATAACAGTGGAAAGATGATTTTTCTTTCACCGAGAAACGAGCTGGGACACAGATGTTTTCCTGTCCCGCAGTCCCGCCTCTGTCCAGGTGGGTTTGTCACATGACGAGGAGACGTTCTTCAGCGACTGGGTGCGTCTCAGGCTGCTCTTCCAATCCATGATAAATCAGGACACTGCAGCAGATTATAAATAACTAATGTATATCACCTATAAACACGACCGATAATCAGTGAAATTATCCAGTGTAATTTATTGGATCTGTCTGGATGTCATATTTTGTTATTTCAAAAGAGCAATGACTTATTTTTTTACTTTTTGCATAAACGTTTATGTAAAGCTAAACATATTTATTATATCTTTATCTCATTTATATACAAATCTCAGTAATAAAAGAATAAACAATAGAATCAAAACACTAAATGTGTGACAGAAATGTAAACATGGCCTCCCAATACAAATAAAATGTACCAGCAAAGCAAGAGTTAAATAACTATTACATCTATAGATAATTTATATTTCAGATAAGTGTTAAAAACAGCTTTTTAAATTGAATCGTTACCTTTCAGACGTCAGTCAGTGTCTGCTCTCTGTGACCGTTTGAACCCCTCCTGCTGCGTCACAAGATCCGTGAGCAAAGTCCTTTTTCTTCCTCATTACTACACACTGTGTAAAGTGAGTGGTATAAAATGTCTAAAAGAGCAAACAACAGGATATAAATCCTCCAAACACTGTTTCTGCTGCTCTCGTCTGAAACATTCACACAAACATGTGTCCTCATTTAACTCTATGTCGAGCATCTTTTCTGCTCATGTCGTGTGTTTTGGCTCCGCTGAGTCCCATGAGTATCCAGGAGATGCCTCAGTGTTTGTTTCCAGGTTAAACCTCTAAAGCTCAGATGTAATTACTTGATCTTTGAGCTGCAGCAGACCATGCATTAAGAGAAAATTAGATTAACTTTACTGATCCTGAGGGGAAGTCGGTTCATTACAGCAGCAGAGAGTTGGCCAAAGAACAACAAATAGAACATGTTGAAAATGAAGTTCTGTATATGAGCTACTGAATAACCAACAGGTCAGGTTACAGGTTTAAGCAGATATATGATGCTCACAATGTTGATATTTTATTGGACAGTTTGACTTTTATTTCTTCTGGCAACGTGCTGATTGGCTCGTAGCTGTAACATTAGGGTCACAAACAGAGATAATGAATTTGAGTGTCCATTTCTCAGACTTTGTGAAACCTCACTGTTGGAAATGTTCCTGCACAAATTTGAAGTGTAAAAAAATGATGCCACGGTTGCCACAAGCCCATTTTATGTCTGTCTCATCAAAATAACCTAAAAAATCCAGGGGAATGAAACTGTTCATTTTTAAATGTTTCAGCTCTTAATTTAGGTTTGAATCCAAGCAGCAGCAGCCAGCAGGGAGCAAGTGTTGCAGAAGTTTGTCTCCACCCAGGAATTCCAAGACCTTCTGACCCTCAGGGGTCAAGAAGCAAGAACAGGAGGAAGCTCTGCTGCCTCGTGATCTCGCTGACAACACTGACACCAACTCCAACCCTGACCAGACTGGTGATTGGACAAGGTGATTGACTGCACGCTGCAAAAAAAAGTAAATTATGCACAAATATTCTTGTAGAATAAACTGAAAAATGCAGCCTAAATACACAGTACTGGCATTTAGTACTTTACACAATACATACAAGAGCTGTAATTGATTGCATTATGCAATGTCATTATAATATAGATTCAAAAAGTGGAAATTTAGTTTTAAGTTTGTCCTCAAATGAAATCAATTTGCTGCTGTCGACTGTAAGTAAATCCATTTAATAAACACTGTTATTAAAGCTGCATTCATTCAGCTATTTGGCCACTTGGGGGCAGCAAAGAGTACTCAAAATTGTTAATATGAACTATTTCTGTTCTGTGAAACCTGATTTTCTTTTTAGATTTTAGATTGAATTCAAAATAGTACCAATTATTTAAGATTTTAAAATGTCAAGATTTGACTTTCCAACATGAAATAGGATTGTAAAATATACTTTTTACTTCAGATAAATCCATACCACTATTGTTTTTCATGGACCAATTTACACGCAGGGCTTTTACTTGCATTGGTGTATTTTTTTACATCACTCTATTTCTGTTTTGACACAATCTGAACACATCTTTGTGATGCCTGTTATCTGGGATTCCCTGTTTGTCACACACTTGTAAAATGCATCGGAGGTTTTGATACAATGGCAGCTTTTGTCGGGCGCACACAATTCATATTCACTCTCTTTAGTCATGCTCTCTGTTAATCAGTCTTCAGACAAAGAAAGAGCAACAGCAGCAGCAGCAGCTCACACCCCTGGGGCAAAAATGAGAGATTCAGCCTGGCTGTCTCCCCCACCGCTGCCCCTCCTCTGACTACAAACCCTCATCCCTCCTTTCAAAAAACCCACTCCTGTCTCCGTCTCTGAGGCACTGCAGAGATGAAAGGGAATATGCGATGCGCCGCCTTTGACTGTGAACTGTGCTGTGTTATTAGGGGAAGTTTACGGGCCTTGTCTGCGTTTTAAACACACTTGCTTACACCAGCCAGCTGTTAACGGGGGGGAGGATGCATGGCCGGGTGGAAAGGAGGCTCAAAATACCTGCAGCTAATTTGCTCCATGACGGACAAAGCAGAGCAAAGAGGAAGGACAACATCTGGGTATCTTCCTGCGTTTGAAACATGCTTTTTCCTGAGTGAGGAAAAAAACAACTGAGAGAGGAGATAGGCCTTTCATCCTGCTAGATACACGCTATTTGTAGTGTCCACTAGAGGGCGTTAAAGACCTGTAAGACACAGCGTTCTGTATCGTCTTACCCACATGTGGTTTTTGTGGGAACATTACAGTCGGGCTATTCGAGGCCAAACTGGGTTATTTCAGTGCAACGAAATAACCCAGAACGTGCAGCAGAGACCAGGTAGTGGAGGAGAGATAAGGTCACTGCTGTAATGATTGGCCAGTGATGCATACATATGCATATTTTATCACAGACAGTGAAATCAATTCATGCTCATCGAGTATCAGACATATTCAGGCGGTAAACTGACATTACCTCACTTAACCCTGCTGCAGCACATTTTCTTTTTTTTTCTTTTTTTCTTCTCAAAAGTGTAAATTCCTATAGGATCCAGTCTCTGCAGCACAGACGCTGATTTGTGGGTTGGTTGTTACCGAGCGTGTGACCTGCTGCTGGATGTTAAGGACAAACACACACGATGCACCTCACACGACCTGAAGTCATGTGCCTGCTTCTGATGCATATTATGCATGCATTGTAACACAGAGGGCAGGCAAAGTGTGTGAGTCAGCAGTGTGTGTGTGTGTGTGTGTGTGTGTGTGTGTGTGATTCATGCTGTTGCTACTAGTGATACTGCCATTGAGACAGTTGTTCTTTCAGAGCCTTTAACCAGACTTTTTAAGCAGGGAGCAAAAATATAGAGATAACAATCAAATAGTCGACTTCAGCTATCAATAACAAGCTTCTGTTTCAGATTAGCTGAAGTAGCTACTGACAAAGTTTTTGACACATCCAGTAATATCTGTTTTGATGCCAAGATGATTTAGTTCAAAATGTTCCATCTGTACTTGTATGTCTTTTATTAAAACAGATTATTCATGAAGAGACAAAAACAAAGTAAAATGTACTTTTTGCTTTTATAATAATAACTTTAATACTCTGTAACTTTAATATTTTATTCATAAAAGTATACTGACTTAATCCATATCTCAGTCAACCACATTTTCAATATTTAAATTTAGATAATAATCATATTTATATAGCACTTCTCACAACAACCTTACAAAGTACTTCACAAAAAAAATTTAAGTAAAAAGACATGGAAATAACACAAATACGAGATAAAACAATAAATAAAAGAATTAAAACATAGATGACAGAAATGTAGGCCTGACCATTACAATAATAAAGACTATATTAACGTTTTAAGCTTTGATTCAAAGGAAGCTACTGGCTCAGTGGTATTTCCTCCAGCAGGGTTTTCCAGTTCCACTCATGATCAGTTATTAGTGAACATGGCAGCTCTGTCTCAATATGCGTCCTCGTGCGTCCGTCTGTTCTTCATGACGAGTTTGACGTCAGAGCAAATGTTCAGCATGCAAGTCCAAAACAAACACACAAACACACACACACACACACACACACACACACACACACACATGCACGCACACAGACAGAGAGAGAGAACAGATGAAGGCTCTGGAAGTTTTGAGCCAAATTACAATCTATATGGAACATTACTTGGATGATGATGATGATTTGACTGAAGAGAAGAAACATGTTGCTCCCAGACGTATTCTCTCAAATGACACATCATTTCTTATAATCTGTGTTTCTGCCAAACTTAAATCAATGAAACAAGAAAAAAAAGCACATTGTTTGACTTCAAACGAATTGTATATCAAAACAGTGTCGGTTCATGTGGTTTGTTACTGACACATATTCACATATTTCCAGACTCTTAGTTCCTCATGTGCAGGTTTCACAGGTTCTGGAAGTTAGTAATATCAGAACCTGACAGTGAAGTTTCAAACTTTGACTCAACTGATCATGACAATAGTCGATGATGTTGATGAAAGTTAGTAGAAATAAACAATTAGACAGGAACAAATATTTATACATACTTATTACCTCCACCAAGAAATGTATGTTTTCACCCTTGTCCGATTAAATTTAATTTTAGCATGATTATGCAAAAACTAGATGAAACTTGGTGAAAAGACAGAACAGAAAGCCCCACAACATTAGGACTTTTTTTTTTTTTTCATTTTCACTGATTTCCCAAGAAGTGATTCAAGGATCTTGATGGGAATATATTTTAAGGTGACAGAATTCTATGAGTCTGTGCAATTTGGTGCAGATCTTGCTACTTTAAATGTGGTTTCCTCAGTGCTGCAGCTTTTATAACTGCTGTATGGTAGCAAACCACATGACACCACCAATGTGTAACTGAGATAACATAATGTGGCCTCAGCTATGAAGCTAGTTTGAATTTAAGGGGACTGTTGGTGGAGATGTGAGCTCCACTGTCCTGGTTTATTATCTGTATCAGCATAGAGGACAAGAAAAGATCAATCAGAAAATCAGGCAATCTACTGTATCAGCGTTTTATGCCTGCGTTTTATTCAGCGTTTCCTCGGCTATAATGCATATTACTTTAGATCCACCTAGCTTAGTGCTATGATAAGCCAGACACTTCTATGGAAGAGCAGTTCACATGATATATTTTGTCTTGGCACAGTTTATAACGTTTTGAATCCAGATTTGAGAATATGTTTCAGGTTCTCAGTCCGTCCCTCTGCTCCTGGTTGCTCCTGGCCAGTTCTTCATTCCTCTCTCAGCGGTGAAATGTGTGGAGGAGGAAGAGGAACACAAGGAGGAAGAATGAGGATCGAGATAAAGGTGTATAAATTTATCCTTTAGCTGAGTCACAAATCAAAGCAGCAACTGAAAAGGAGCCAACTTGAAAGAATCGCTTTAAGTAGAGAGACGACTCAGAGCTGATCTACTCAATGGGAGCTGGGCTTACAGCACATTTTAGATTTTA